TTTGATTTGCGTAGGCGTATTGCCTTTCAAAAACAAATATTTAATGACAGCTCGATACTCGATTTTGTCCATTTTCACAAAAACACTCACATCAACTTACTCAAACGACTGTTACATAACAACTGCGAGTCCAAAATGGCTGAAACTTCGGTGAGTAACTGTCAACAGATGAACAACGAAATTCACTAGCTTTTATTTACAAGTGCTGCTATCTTCACGTTGAGGTCGGAAACTTTTCAGACCACCCTCGTATAATACCACCGGTACAACCTAATGTAAATATTCGAGTTAGAAGACGAGATCGGTTACTTCAGTAAGCTCTGTTAGCGATATATCCATAAAAGGTGATTTCTCATTCATCTCCTACGACAACTCAGTTTTTGAGCGAACAAACAAAAGATAACGAAGACGAGGCAAAAATGAATAACTCACCTCGTAGGGAAACACGTACCGTAGAAAATAATGAAATCGATAGAGAAATAGAAAGGTTACGAGCCGAATACGAAACAGGGAAAATTCGCGAGTAGAACTAAACCCGCCGGTAAATCAGATTTTCAACAACGCGAATCGCGCTGAACTGGACGAAACCACACAACAAAGTCGAGAAGAGATTTTGCTAGAAATCATAAATCAAATGAAGCACCAAATGTGCCACTTAACAGAACAAGTGAGTGCTCTGACCGCGGACAGACGACATCCTATGAGAACAAACCATATGAATGTAACGTACGGACGAACGATGCATGACGTAAGAAACAGACTGTCTCGAGTAAGCAGTTACATGCAATTATCCGAAGCACGGAAAATAATTCCAGAATTTGATGGTACTTTACAAGAACGATTATAAGAATTCCTGAACGCAAGTACATACGTAGTAAATAATATAAATCCTGCAGAAGAACTAATGTTACTAGAAGCAATTTTATGCACTAAATTAAAAGGCAAAGCATTGATAGATTTCGACACTAGAGACATTCAAAATTTTGAACAACTAAAACATGAATTAGAAACATGTTATTCGGTACAAAATAGTATAACTTGTTTGCAATTAAAATTCAATGTATACAAAAAACCGGAGAAAGTGCTCAAACTTATGGATTACGTGTGGACAAACTGGCAATGCAGCTATATCAATCATTAATAAGCGATCGAAGACATACGAGTGAGCAAAAACACACTATTTTAGATACTATACAGATGCAAGCCTTACAGAATTATCAAATAGGATTACGCAACGAAATCAGAACAGTAATACGTTCGCGAAACTATAATTCATTGCACGAGGCAATAGCAGCAGCAAGCTCAGAAGAAAAAGTACAGGAACCTAGCGGAAAATCTTTTGCAAAATTTAAGTCCCTTATATACACACGCAACGAAAAGATTCCGCAATGTCATAAATGCGGTAAAGTAGGCCATGTCGGGCAAGAATGTAGAACAAGCCGTTATGTAAATCGATATGTGTTACCAAAACCAATCGAAAATACGCGAAAATACAGTACAAAAACATTTAAGGAGTTATAAGAAGAGAAACCAAATAAATTATATCGCAAACTTTATTAAAATTCCACGACTATTTATTCTCCACGACCATCCTGCACTATTTGCAAGCTAACACCGCAGTCCAACTACCCGTTGTATTCGGCGTCACCATGGGCACAACACAGTGATCTTGATCTTGACATATGTTGTCAAGGTCACTATCCTGAGTGACAATAAAAATGTTTTAGCTGTCGCTCCTTATTTGTTAAAAAGTTATTAACAAAAGAAGTTGCATAAAATAAATATAATTTTTGGACACCATATATACAAAAATATCGAATTTGTGGACTAGGAAGGTATCTGCTACACATACACACACACTGCTCGTCTGTACACCTGCCCGGGCGGGTTGCAATATGTGCGTATGTTCCTGTTATATTTGGATGATTAACAATCATCCATATATGTTACGTTCTGTTGCATATGTACGCATACGCACATACACATACACACACATACTCGCCTGCATGCGCGCTTGCCCGCCCGCCCGGGCGGGTTCGCAGTGTGTGTATATTCCTATTATATTAAAAGTTTTATAAATATAATATTTGTCCCACACATTAATTTATGCAGTATCACAAAATTACATCGATGATTGTTAAATCATCCAAATATAATAAAAACACACGCACACACCGCGAGCCGGTCCGGGCGGGCAGGCAAGCGCGTGTGCAGGCAAGTAGTGTGTGTGTGTGTGTGCGTATGCAACTGAACGTAACATATATGGATGATTGTTAAGTTATCCAAATATAATAGAAACATTCGCACAAACTGTGAGTCCGCCCGAGCTTGCCCGTGAGCTTGCTCGAGCGGGCAACCCAATGAAAAATTTTTATATATATTATTATATAAAATTATATAAAATTATATATAATTATACATAATTATGTATGGACAAATTTCATACACAATTTTGCATGAAAAATTTTTCATCGGGAAGCGAGCGCGCATGCAGGCGAGTAGTGTATGTGTGTATGTACGTGCGTACGACTGGCACCTTCCTAGCCTATAAATTCGGTGTCTTTGTACAGTGTCCAAAAATTACATTCATTTCATGTAGTTTGTTTTGTTAATAACTTTTTAACGAACAACGAGCGATGGCTAAAACCTTCTGAACATTATTCAGAAGGGTGACCTCTATCATATATATGAAGGTCATAGATATTGGGTCCGTTTTTGTAAAGATTTATCGCTTCATGCAACTTCATGCAACTTAGATCTTATGCATGGCGATGAGTCGTTTCGACCTCCTCTCTCAAATACCGCTCGTAATCGTCGAAAGTAATAGTTTGTGCTACGAAGTTATTCTTTACACCTTTCGTCTTTTTCGTGTTCTTCTTTTTGTCTACTCTCAGCGCGTATATCTTCGCTCTGTGATCGATAAATTCTGTCATAATGGCACTGTTGTTTTCGTCCTGCATCAAACCGGGGACTTTCTTATTCGCAAGTGGTATACCGTACGCGTTGTCGCATAAACACACATCCTGCAGCTTGTCAACGCAATCTACGTATTCGTATGGAAAAACATCCTTCCGTGTCAATAAATCAAACTCCTCGACGGATAATTTTGGAAATTCTGATCATACAATTTTTAACTTATCTTTACTGAGAAAGAATGTCAATTTGTCGAAACTGCTGCTGAGAAATTTGTACGAATCGATGAAACGCAATTTTACATCACTTTTAAATTTATCCGCAGTACTTTGAACGTTCTTTGTAAATGAAATATACTTTTCCTTGGTAATGGGTAGTACACTGTGTTGCAACGATTCCTTCCGCGAGAGGGGGAATGGTGGCCCCCTTCTCTGGTACGTTATTGCACGCCGCTCTCGGTGGCTGGCCGTCCAACTACTCATCTATCTGATGAAGATGATGAGGATAACTTCCAACCTCCACGGGAACATCATATAAAGATCCCACATTTTTTAGAAAACATTGTCGTAGCATATTCATTGACAAGAAAAAGAATTTGAAATTTTGTTGTACTATAATAATTTAATGTTTTAAGTTTATATAAATGTTCTTGCATTATATGTTTTGATTACAATAAACTATATTAACATTATTAAAATAGATTTTAAATCTATCTTGTTTTGTCATCAATATACCCTAATGGCATAATTTATTGTGGACTTGTACCTGCACGAGTCATGTAAAAACAATACTTGCAAATAGGTTAAAACAGTGTGACTTTTTACTTTAGGATAATATTTGAAAAATATAATATATATTTTAATGGTTCCCTTATAGAAATATCATACTAAGAATCATTGATAATTACTTATTATCCAGTATTTCTAATACTGAAAATAAGTAATTATCAATGATTCTTAGTATGATATTTCTATAAGGGTTATATAACTTTAATTAAGAATAAATAAAATTTTATTAGAAAACAACACCAAATGATTTTGTAATCAATAATACAATTTTACAAAATTATTATCTCGTGTATTTGTCACGGTATTATTCTGTCTAACCCACTGCTTGCAGTCGTGAGATAGCATTAAGGCCATGGCACATAAAAAAACGTAAGCAGTAAGACATAAGCAGTAGTCCGTACGCAGTAGAGACAACGCACATAGAAAACTTAATATTCCACCAATCAGGTTGGAGCATAGCGACGAAATTTTGACATGTTTCCGATTCAGCTGTTCTGACGGAAAGATTCCGCGACATTGTGATTAGAAGGTGATTTTTGTTAGAGGTAATTCTTTTTCTTTTTTAAGTAATATTACTTATTGTACTGAATATTATATCTATAGTTATCAGAAGTATTTTTATATATAAATAATTATAAATTATAATATATAAATAATATTTATTAAGTATGTGTTTGATAATTTATCATTAAACTAATCTGCTATAGAGATAATTTGAGGTTATCTTTGGTTACAAAAACCACATAGAAAATATAAAGCGGGGTCTATCTATAAGAATAAAGCTATAAGGTTGTAAGATGCGAAATTAATTATTTTTATTCGCTGACAGCTCACGTAACAGCCCTATAGCTTTATTCTTAAAGACATTGTAGACTCCGCTTGAGGCGTTGACTGCTAAATGAGTGGAACTATTATCCTTTAGTATTATTTAGAAATAATATAATTATTACTGAATTCTGAATATCCGCATTGGTATTTTTAAAGATATTTCTAAATTCTTATTGTATATATTATCTTATTATATTCTCAAGATCTTTGAATTATTTTTTCTATGTTAGCTTTAACTACATTTCTGAAAGTTGTTATTAGCTTTATTGCAGATTAATATATGTCTATTTGTGATATGTTTACTGTATGCGACTGTCTTCGAATGTGACCATTGTATCATTCTACGGTTGCTCATTGTATTACCTTACGGTTGCTCAACGATTGCTCAACGTTTCCTTAAATACAGATTTTCCCAACAGACTTTCTTACATTTACTGCTACGGTAAATCATGAATATTATCATGTATATCATGAATATTATCAATGTTTCTCCCACATTTTTTTCATTGTATTATTCTCAGAAATGTCAGATCTTTGAATTATTTTTACATTTCTTGTTTCAGATCTAACTACATTTCTAAAAGTTGTTGCCAACTTTATCGCAAATAAATATATGTCTATATTTGTGATACTATTTGCTATGTGGATTATGTAGTGCAAGCTTTTAAGCACATTTAAATATTATTAAAATAGAAGAGAAAAATTATTATTAATTGGACATCAAATTATTGAAAACAAAATGGAACATGAATATTGCATGCAAGTATTCATTGAGGATACGAATGATGAATTAGATGATTATGATAAAGAAAACGTAGAAAAAGGAAGCGACGAATTATTGGTCGATGCAGTAAGAGCATTGTGACGTGGCAGCCGAAGGACGCCCGTCACAAGGGCGAGAGAGCTCCGTTCGTACGATTTCGCGCATACCGGAAGGGGGATGCATAGCGCTCCCGGACTTTTTTTTGTGTGATTAAAATTGACAGCTTTCCGCGGTCATATCGGTCGAGCGTAGGGGGAGGGAGGTTAATTAGCGGAGCGAACGCGGTCCCACAAGTGGGATGGTCAGCGCGTCCTAAGGAAATGTGCCCCAACTCTCCTCGCCGACCACGAAGGGAAGAGACCACAGGACACCGAGGGAACAGGAAGAAAGAAGAAACGTCATCGGCCTCAAGGAAAGTCGCCGTTTAAATGATACGTGAATAACGACACTTTTAACTCTCGTACATAAGAACGTGTTACCGTTCCGATTTCGGCTGCCGCTGGCGATGTTTGTTTACAGCACGCTGCTAGACGCGGGGCGGAGAGAAGCGAGGCAGGCTCTCAACAGCTGACGACGATCGACAACAAAACAGGTGCCCCGGAAACAAGGAAATCCCGGCGAGACAGACTAGAGAGAGAGAGAGAAAGATGGAGCGAGAGAGGGAGAGAGAGAGAGAGAGAGAGAGAGGAAGGCTCGCCGAGAAGAGAAAAAGCGAGAACAACGCGGGATCGAGAGACTTGCTCGTGATCGACGGTAGATTTGACGCGAGACTCTCAAAAGATTGCCGTGACCCTCAAGACATCGTTGCAGTATCGAAGTTAGAGCCTACCGACGTGATACCGGTCGTTTTGTGTCGTCTTCTCGCCGACGCGGCATATCGAGGGCGAAAGCATTTCGTGGGATATCTCCGGTGCGAGTGACCAATCTCCGATACGGGCGAGCCAAGGTCCGACACGAACCTGCAGTAGCGAAGCGGAGGCGATCACCGACAGGCGAGGAGACCGACCTGGAGTGGAGGCGAGGAAGAGTCCGACCTATTATAAGACCTCCCATTTGTTTGTATAGTATTGTCGTGAAACTGTCGTCCCGAGTATACCGCATGCGGAGTGGTCGCGCGAAAGTCATAGGACATAATCGAGCCGGGGCGAGTCGGATCCGCGGACGTGCCGACACACTCGAGAGATTGCCGAACGCACGTGAAGTGCCTGTACCGATCCAATAAAAACCTCTGTACAACTTACGCTGGTGCCTTTCCTCGGTTTTCCACCAACGACAATAAAACCCAGCCCTCTTTCGACTCAAATTAAAAAGTGAGCTACCGGTCCCGTGGAGTTCTCGCGATCTCGACAACGAACTATATCTGGAGATTTTGGCGACTACTGATTAGTGAGGAGGTGCAGCCTTACCGCACCTGGCGCCCAAATTGAGTTGATGAGTTCGTATCGAGATCCGGAGACCGCGGTAATTTGCCGACGAGGCGGACAGGTGACTGTCCGCCAGTACCGATAAGAAAAGTCGTCGCAGCATATATCCTCATTTATATAACTCATTCTTGAAAGAATATAAGGATGTTCAAATGAAAGAATTTATGGAGTGAAATTGGGTTACTCATGAATATGTCAAGTAAAATCTAGTTTTAGTAATTTCCTATATCAATATTTATGCCAGCTTATATATGTTTCTTACACAAGTTTAACTGGCAGTATTCAGTAGAAATTAAAAATTTATTTGAGTTTTAAAATCAACAGTACTTTTAATACTCCAAGAAATTAATCAGTGGTGAATTTTGTACTGTCAGTATAAAATATCTGTAAGAGACATAAATAAGTCGGAAGTAAAAATATCTTACATTTCAATGTGTATTTATCTTTTTCCAGCTTTGGGTTTTTTAAAATTATTTTCTATCTTCTTAGTTGCAGATTTTCAGAATTGTTGGTTACGCTTGCGCGAGCGTTTTGCTAAAGAACAATGATTACGAGAGTTAGAAAATTGAAGTGGCAGTGGAGCTAGTCATAGATCTACATTTTCATTATACAAAAACATGCTGTTGCTTGAAAAATATATCAAACGGAGAAGGTAAGATTACTTTGTGTCAATATTGTGTCATTATATTTTGTCCAAATTGTAACTATAATTATTTGATATATTTAGTCTAGGCAATTTGCAAATTATAACATGATTTAGGACAAAAGTCAATCTTAAGAAAATGTGAAGAATACTAATATTAATATACACATGCCGACACACACACACATACACACACACACACACACACACACACACACACACACACACACACACACACACACACACACACACTCTCACTTATAATTTAAAAATTATGTTATGATATGTAATTGTGAAAGTATTTATAAGTAAAAGAATAAATGTATATGTATATATATTTATATAATATTTAAAATAAACTGTAATTTCTATTTTCAGATCGTATACAAATGTTACAAACTTTTCTGCTAAAAAAGTTCCACTTGATATATCGCATACGCCTGATAGACATAATGGAATAAAAATACAAGCACATCAGATCTTTTCTCAGACACGTGTAGAAAGTCCTGCCACAAATATGCTTTTTCCTCATTTTTACTCTTCAACTTCTAATATTGTCCCTCAAAGAACAAAGATGATATCAAACACAAATTTTTCTTGCACAGCACAAAATAAAGAGAGCGGTGCATTTGGACACAGCCAATAACAGCACCGTGTAATTAGAGACATTTGTAGGGTCCCTTGGAACAGCGACTTGTGATTGGACTGTGTCCAATTGCCCCGTGTCCAACTGATATACACCCCAAAATAAACAGAGCAATAACATTCAAACTCAAGAAAATATGGCACATTGTAGTCTTATCAGAGATAGTAACTTTGAAAATGAACAGAATTCTATACATCACATTGGCTTGCCGTAAGATATTAATAATCCTGATTCAAATTCTGATATATTGTCATCTGAAAAAGGAGGTTTTTCAAATAAAAGTGAACTGTCTAATTCCTCAATAAAAGACTCAACATCACGTACACTGTAGACAGACTCGCATAGACAAACAGCAAGACGTATCTCAAATAAAATTAACAGGAAAAGCAGCACACACTTAGAGTCTTCGCTCACTGCTTTGAGTGATACTCTTCAAAATCGTTTTGGAAACCAATCAACCTCTGAACAGAATATTTGGAATAACAATTTAACAGCAGATACAACTTTTGGGCGATTAGTAGCAACACAATTACAGGAAATACCTGAACCAGAAAAATCAAGATGGAAGCTAACGAGATCAGAAATTTTATGGAAACCGTTATCATAACAATTATATTCCAGTATATCTGTTATTCTATTCTTTTAATTTCTCTATAAGTATTTTACAGATAAAAAATTATTTTTAGTATCTGAATAATTAATGATACTTTAATTCTAATTTTGTGCAATTGTAATTTTCTGTTTATTACGTGCAAATTTTATTTTCTGTTTATATTTCTTCAACGAAGCAATATTATTAAGATGAGTATCATTGAAACCTCTATGAACATAGTCATACTGCCATAAAACTTCACCATTGGAAGTTATCAAATAATCCGCTATTTCATCCCGTTGCTTTGTAACGCTGCACTCGCGACTCGCGCAGTCGGCACACGAATCGGGTGCAGCGACAAAATTATGTTATTTACTTCCGGGTCAGCTTTCACAGTTCGGCGGATTTCGCGAGACTCGACAGCTCACACGAACAAAAGAAAACTCTAACTGGGCGCCAGGTACGGCGATCCGTACCCACTAAAAGAATTGTACATTAAACGCGAAAAGGTTGGTCTCGCCGATGAGTAGCCCTCGTCGTCCGCCCGAACTGCTAACCAAAACGTCCGGCAGCTCAGCCCTCTTCGCGGCAGAGGGGCTGGTTCGCTCGAAGTTGGAGGTGCAAGGAAAGAACGGCGACTAGGTTAATTAAATAAGCCGAAATATCTTGAGACAACGTTTATTGTTCGTTCCCGTTACACTAGTATTAACCGGCAGCAAATATACGATGATAACAAATTTAGTCCTTGTTCGTAATCGCGACAGAGAAATTCAGCAGCGCGAGTTATCGTCGTGACCGGCGGAGGTCACGACCGCCACGTACGCGTTCGGCGGTGTGTCCGCGTCGACGGTATAACCGGCGGATGTTCGGCGGTTTTGCTACGTACGAATGAACCCGTGAGCTTGTCCCTCGAACGCGCGAAAGGGACGCGAGCCCTTGCCCTCGTCCAGGAGGACGGCCGGGTCTCCGCTCGTCGACGCCTCGCCCGCTCCGTGCCACAAAAACCACCAAAATAAATATCGTCCTCGTTCCTTTTGGAACGGACTCACCAAATGTCGAGCGGAGCGGGGGCGGTCGGCAGCTGGCCTCGGCGGTCCCTCTGGACTCACACGAATTTGACCCTGGATCTCGCAGCGGTCTTACGGTCGTCGGTCGAGTCGTCGGTGCTTCGTCGTCTAGTCCTCGGCTCCACGAATGGCGCGTCCTTCACACTCAATACCGTATCGTTGGCGAGATCGGTGACGAAAGCTCTCGAACGGTCGTTGTCTTCCCGTTTTATTTGAGGTTTTTGAACTCGCTTCCGACAGCTCTTGAGTGCTCATTGGCGGGATCTTTCCCCCGTTTTCCGATCTCAGATTTTGCACAGCTGTTTTCGTTATGTCAGGCTTTGGAGCTTCCTTGTCCATCTGACCTTGGCTTTAGCTCCTTTGCGGCAGCCGTTGTTTGCGTTGATCCACGAGCTTCGCGGCGTCCTCGCTCGGATCGGAGGACGCTCCGGGTCGCGGAGGATGTGCTCGCCGATTTCCTCTGGCGGCAGCTATCCTCCGCTCGTCCGCGGTGTCGATCCACTCCGTCCTCGCGGCTTCCTAGCGACAGCTCGTGATCGCTCCCCTTCGGCAGCTTCGCCTCGCCGTTCAGGATGTTGCTGAAAACAGTTCTATGTTAGGTTTTCCACCCTGTGGGTCCCTACTGAGTCGTATTATTAATGGAAGCGGTTCACCTGGAGTAGCGAGTCTTGCGGCCGTTCTTCTCGCAGGCTTTCCCTCTCCCACGGCGGCAGCAGTCCTCCTTGCTGGTGGCTTCTTCTTCCTGACTCAACCTCGATGACCGTATTTATACACAAAATATATAATTCGAGGGCTGCGTAGGCTCGCGTCCTAATCGCCTTATGGCTAGGACGCGACATCCGCCTGCAGCCGGGAAGCTCATAATGCTTCCTTACTATAGTCGACGAGTGACGGACGATATTTACTAATCGTCACGTCACAGCTTATATGCTGTTTGAGTTAAACGATGAGCAGTGGATGGTCTAATACGTTCCATGTTACCTCCGCGATGTTCGTTTCTCCATGCTCCAGGAATAATGTCACCATCTTCTTGTTTAGTATCAATGAAATTGGGAGGGCAATAAATTTTGTCATTTGCTAGATTTAAATCGTTAACAGTTTTTGAAAAATTGTGAAGACATATTGTTACTAGCACTATCTTGTCGATGCTTTTGGGATTCGTAGCAATTGATTTTCTTAAAACTCTCCATCGCGAAACAAGTATACCAAATGAGTTTTCTATTATTCTCCTCGCTCGCGACAATCTATAATTGAAGATCTTTTTTTTAATATTCAAACTACGACCGAAATATAGTCTCATCATACTTTGTGTAAGATGAAATGCCTCATCTCCAACGAAGAAGCATGGAGTCTTTATATTACTTCCAGGTAAATTGGCTTTGCCTCGAGGTAAATTTAAATTTCCATTATATAATGCTTTGCCAAACTCTGATCTTAATAGAACTCTTCCATCGCTATTGCTACCATATGCTCCAACATCAATTAGAGTAAATTTGCAGACGTGATCACAAGCTGCCAACAATATTAAACTCAAAGTCTTCTTGTAATTGAAATATATACTTCCAGAGTTTGGTGGAGCTTGTATTTGTATATGTTTTCTATCTACAGCTCCGCAACAGTTAGGTAGACCAAACCGACCAAAACCCTTCACAAATACGAATCCAGTCTTGCTCTGTAGGAGCTTGCAAATATATTGGTGTTAGTACTTTTATAATTACAGCACAAGTCTCTTTTATCACTTTACGAGCTGTTGATTCCCCAATACGATATACTAATGCAATTGATAAGACTTGATCTCCTGTAGCAAAATATCTAATATAACAAGCAAAATTAAATAATTAAATACTTTTTTTACGTATATCGTTATCGTTAAAAAACATACCTTAAAGTTATAGCAAGACGTTGTTCAGAAACCAAAGCTCGATGACTTTCCCTTATAGAAATATCATACTAAGAATCATTGATAATTACTTATTATCCAGTATTGTTAATACTGAAAATAAGTAATTATCAATGATTCTTAGTATGATATTTCTAGGGACTTCCGTTTCCGGTAGCGAGAGTGACTGTTGCGTATGTGGAAGGTGTGCTTGGCGAGAAAGTATTTAGAGGATAAGGAGAGCTGTTGGTGAGAGGATGGGGGAGTAGCAGGTGGAGTTGGGAAAATAAGGATGAGGGTAAGGGTAAGGGGACAGAGAAATAGGAAAAAGGTGAGTTTTGAGACGGGATTTGGAGGTTAGGCGAGTAGAAGGAGCAGGTGTAGAGAGTGGAGAAGGAGCAGGAGAAGAGACGGAGACAGCGACGCCGAGTGGTAACAGTTGGAAGCATAGTAGGAGAGAGTAGGAGCGGGCGCGGGAAAGTTTGAATAGAGAAAGTTAATGAGTAGAGAGAAGGACGGGATGGAGGAGAGAAAAGGGGGTGAGAAGGAGAAGGGAAAAAGAGGAGAGGAAGGGAACGAGGAGGAAAAGAGGAAGATGGGAAGGCAGAACAAAGCAGAAAGTCTGATAAGGGATAGAGCAAACAGTATGCCTCTGTTGGAATTGTTCAAGAGAGGAGAGAAAAGGAAGGAGAGATTGGAGGAGGATGTGGGAAGGAAGGAGGGAGAAATTGTCAAGAGGAGTTCGATGATGGAGAGATCACCGGTTAGACAGGAAGAAGGGGGATTGAAGGAAATATTAAGGGAAGTAAGAGACGGTTTTAGGGATATAAAAAGTGAAATAAGAGAGATAAAGGAAGATAGAGAAGAGATGAGGGAATGGATAGAGGAAATGAGAAAAAGAATAGACGGTTTGGAGAAGAGAGTGGAGGAAATAGAGAAAGGATGGGGAGGGGCGGAGAAGGACGAGGGAAGAGGGGGGAGGATAAAGAGAAGGAGATGGAGCAGGTAGAGATAAGGGAAAAGGGAGAGATAAAAGTATTAGAAGAAAGGATGAGGAGACTGGAATTAGAAGGGGAAAAAAGGAAAAGGGAGAAGAGAAAGAGGAATATAATAATAAAGGGAGTAAGAGAAAAGAAAGAGGGGATGGAGGGGTTAAGAAGAAAGATAGAAGAGATAGTGGAGGCAACGGGGGCAACAGCGGAAATAGAAGGGATGAGGAGGATAGAGAATAAAGATAAGGAGGGAAGGAAAATGGTATGGGTAAGATTCGCGAGTGTAGGGGGGAAAATAGATGTGATGAAGGGAAAGGCGAAGCTGAGGGAGAGGAGGGAATGGATCGTGGATGACTTGACGGAAAAAGAGAGAAGGGTAGAGTGGTGGATCAGGAAGGAGGCAGAAAGGAATAAGAGGGAAGGTAAGAAAGTAAGAGTAGGATATATGAAAATATGGATTGATGATAAATTGTGGGTATGGGATGAGATGAGAGACAAACTGAGGGAATGGAGGGGAAGAGAAGCAAGAGAGGTTGAGAAGGGAAAAAAAGGGGAGAACGTGGAGGGAAAAGGGATAGAGGTTTTTTAGAAGGGGGTGGGGGGAGGGAGAAGGGGAGAAAGAAGGGAATAGACGAAATAGAAAAAGTGGGTGAAAGAGAAGGAATAGGGGAAGAGGGGATAGTAAGGAATATAAAATAGGTTTTTGGAACGTGGCCGGCATGGAAAACAAAGAGGAGGATTTTAGGAAGAAATTAAAGGAATGGGATATGATGTTCTTGAGTGAGACATGGCTACAGAGAAAGGGATGGGAGAGGGTGCAAAAATGGTTACCGAAGGGATATGTATGGGAAGTGCAAGAAGCAGGAAGGAAGAGTAAAAAAGGGAGGGCAATGGGAGGAATGATTGTAGGAATCAGGGAGAGGATAGAAAGAGAAAAAGAGAATGAGGAAAGAAGGGAAAAAGGATTACAGGTG